CAGGTGAGTGATAGGTGTTCGTGGAAGGATAATTCATTTCATATGAGAAGAAAAGAAAAGAAAGAAAGGATGAAAGAAAGAAAGAGAAGAGAAACAAATACTACTATACCTGAGGACAGCAAGCAAGGTGCAGGTGAGTGATTGGTGTTCGTGGAAAGGATGAGGAAAAGGAGAACTTCCACGAGTGCTGCCTCAGGTATACTACAAATGTGTGACATAAATGTGAAATACACATGACATGTATAAAGCAGAGAAAAAGGAAATGAGATGAGAAGGAAACTGATCAGCTCAACAATATGTGCTTGGAAGATATTGAGTGAGATAACAAGCAATAAAAGGGCCATATAGGGATATGTTTTCCTATTATCAGGGGGTATCAAATATAACCAAATCCACCATTATTTAATTGACTGGGTTGGAAAAATTCACCCTCTTTTAAACATGTTGGTTCTTCATTGAACCCCTTTTGGGGCCCATTGATGCAATTTTTTTTTTGGGAAAGTGACTGGTTTCTAAAGGCGGATTTTCTATATTTGATACCCCCTATTGATTGTTATTATGTTTTCCCCAAAATAACACATTACTTAACTATTATATTTGGCCTGAACAAAAAGAGGCTGGTCAAAGTAAACATTGAGCCAGTTATTGATGGTTATTAATGATGCCAAATGCACACAAGAACAGCAAAAGTTACTTAACTGAGATATTGTCAGACATCACAAAATAAAGTAACTAACCATTTTTGGAAAGCTTGCCAGTGACCAAAGATACCCTAGCTTAACACAATCCCCTTTTTCCAGAGGGCTGGGGGAACCCTGGTGTTCACCTTTGATTGAGGGTCTTGGGTTAAGTTCAAATGATACCCATATTTAATGGTTTATGGGTCAGCCAGTGTGGGCTGCTTTTGCATGCCAAGGCCCAACACCAAGATGCTATCTAGACTTTTTGGTTAAACAGTCAAAGCATGTACTCAGACAATAGCTTCATGTGGTGGTTGGGGCACTGCTTGAATGGCTTAGCATTTTCAGGGCCATGATGTAAGTACTTATAAGTATCAGCGCCAGCGTAGTTGAGTTTAACGGTAATCTCGTAAAAAAACAGGAGACAATCTGAGGCAGAATGATCTCAACTTTGTGACAGGTACGTGATCTCACAGCTGTGAAAGGGGTTCACAAACACCAAATTAAGTTTGAGTTTGGCCTCTCCGATCCACAGCGACTTTGAATCCACCACCACATCATCATCATCATCATCCAGATTTACATTTCTATAATTTATTTTTATTTTATTTTATTTTCGTATTTGTATGACCATATCCTTGATATCTCATCTCCAACATGAAGGGTTCCTCAAACACCTCAGCATCCGCCTCGAACATTGCTTCGACCTCAACCGCCAACGCCCATCAGCAGCCGAACTCGGGTCACCATAACCATCCTCATCATCAGCAGACGGGCAGCTTGGGCAGGATCAACGATAGAAATATCACTCCTAACTCGCCATGTTTTGTTCACTCCCATCTCGATCCTGGAAACAATCGTCAGAAGAATTTTTTTTTGTATTATGTTATCCTACTACCAAGCCCGAGATGGATGATCTGATTGCATCTGTTGACTCTTTTTCTTCATTCTGGTTTTGATGATGATGATTATCTGCTTGACCTCTTTTAGCTGGGATCTCTCGTAGCATGACCCGACACGAGCGTTCCCGAAGTCGACAGTTCAATCCACCACTACCAACGATCCCTCAACACAACTACCCATCACCCGGCCTCTCACCCAACACCCCCCGGCCGAATTCGACCTCTCAGGGAATTTCGAGCATGGCCATCCCAGACCATCAGAACTATACCTACGCTGATATTAATGATGATCGAGATGATGACTTGGACGCAGACTCGGACTCGGACGACGATGAGGAGAACCATGAGAGCATGACTCGCCAACTAGCTGAGACGGCGACGAGTGTACGAGAGATCTCCAAACAGCTCGGCCGAACTCGGATCAAAACGGCCATCCAGAGTGTCTTGATCATCACCAAGGCTAGAGATAACCACCTGATTCGGTTCGGATTTCCTTTGCTTCCCTTCCATGTTCTTCTTGAATTTAGTTTAATTTAAATTTAAATTTAATTAATTAATTAATTAATCAATCAATTAAATTGATCTTCGCACTCATGGCTTGGTCATCCATCCCTTGGATTCCACTGCAAGTGTTCTTACGTAACTCACCCTCCTGTGCATCCCCCCCTTCTGAACAGCCTCACTCGGGAATTGGTCATCTCACTCTCGCGTGAATCCCCGGATCCGCCGATCACCCAGTCACTCCAGAGGTCAGCCTCATCCAATCAATCGAAGCCCCTGGTGGTCTATGTCGATCACCAGCTACGTCATTCCACTCGGTTCGATCGCGCCGGCTTAGAAAGGGATTATCCCGATTGGTTCCGGCCCTTGTCCCCTCGCAACCGCTTCAAGCGCCGAGTCTCCCGGACAAACTCGGTCTCTTCTCTCAACTCGATCCGGTCTACCCTTAGTAATCACAGCTCCGCTTCCAATTCGACTACCGACTCGTTCCTCCAAGATGACGGGCGATTGCGCTATTGGACTCCGGAGATGTGTGCCAAATCTCCGGAACTCTTTGATTTAGTAATCACTGTGAGTGCTTGAAGAATAATACCTGGTGATCTTACAAATGTTGATGCTTCATCCTGCCCCTCAATCTGCCCATCCAGCTTGGCGGGGATGGTACAGTCTTGTTTGCTTCCTGGTTGTTTCAACGGGTCGTTCCGCCTATCATCTCATTTGCACTTGGCTCACTTGGCTTCCTTACGAACTTTGACTACGCCGATCACCAGAAGGTCTTACATGAAGCCATCAAACGTGGGGTCAGGATCAACTTGAGGATGCGCTTTAATTGTACCGTCTATCGAGCCAGTGTTGGCCCAACAAAGCGCCGGGCTGTCAGGTCTGGTAAGACCGGTGAAATTTTCATGAATATCCTTGGCAAGTCTGGCTGGGAAGCCCTCGAAAACGGCTCGGCGCCTTCTAATCAACGCTCAACGTCTCTTTCAGCTGACAAGGACGATAAAGAGATCGTCTGCTTCAGTACATATCCCGCTGAATCCTTTGAAGTCTTGAACGAACTGGTTGTTGATCGCGGACCGAGTCCGTATGTGAGCTTGTTAGAGCTATTCGGTGATTAATCTTTCTTGTGCTTTTATGTCTCTTCATATTTTCTCCATCAAACATGATTTGTCCAAATTCCTTATAAAGCTGTCACCTTTGATCCTTACAGGCGACGATCACCATATGACCACCGTCCAAGCTGATGGCTTGACAGTATCAACACCCACTGGTTCTACAGCCTACTCTGTTAGTCAAGTGTGATTGTCTGATAAGTTCAACATCTAGGCAGACCAAATCTGATTACGGATTTGAAAATTATTCAGTTATCTGCCGGTGGCTCCCTAGTACATCCCGAAATCCCTGCGATGTTGATTACTCCCATCTGCCCTCATACTCTCTCCTTTCGCCCGATGTTACTCCCGGATACTATGGAATTAAGGATTTGCGTGCCATACACTTCACGCAGTACAGCTTGGGCTAGTTTTGATGGGCGAGGAAGAGTTGAACTACGTCGTAAGCAGCCACTCAAGCTCCAGTCAACATGTGCTATGACCAACTTGACTGACTGTAGGTTGAACATCGGCTTGATCATCACTCTTGGCTTCTGGTTGCTATGTCAAACTAGAGGGCGACCACATTAAAGTCACAGCATCAGCATACCCCTTTCCGACGGTTTGTGGTGTAAGCCAATCGATTGATTGGTTTCATGCAATCTCAAGGACTTTGAAGTGGAACGAGCGAGAACGACAAAAATCATTTGTTGTGATTGAAGAAGATCAAGCCCAATCATCCAGCGGCAGATTACCCCGTCCAAATCAATCGTCAGTCGCGCCTGAGCACGTTAAGCAAGAGGAGTTTGACGAAGATGAAGTAGAAGAATATGATATTGATGATGTCCCGCCCAGCACTTCCCTCGCTGAAGGCTTAGGACAGGCTGCTGTTAACCACGTCAATCAATTGAATCCTGAACACATTAGAAGGCTTGAACACCGCAACGTCGATCATAGCACCTCTTCCGATATGAGCTCACAAGGAGCTAGCACTTTGAAGAACTCGACGCCATCTCCAATTATGAATCATGGCAGACTGCCTCCTAAAATCAGTAATCCCAATTTGAAAGCGTTTGCTGTCTGGGGTCTCGATTCTAGTAGCTCTTCTGATGGATCCTCGAGTGATTCTTGAATGAATCGGTTTGCTTTCCCCCTCACTGTCGCAATCCAATCCCAGAATTGTTCTTGTTTTATCTTCTTTTCATTGGTCGAATTTCTTATATTCACCAAACCATAAATTGCAAAATCACTGATGTCATAACAACGCCAAAACAAATATCATTTAAGGAATGTTTTCCTATAACATTAATATAGATACATGATCGTTATCTCCATTTCCTCCCAACATCCAAGCAAACACCGATCTTCTTGATGGTTAGACCTTTCTTCAGTTAGTTGACGTTCATGTATCACACTTAAAACGTGCACCTTGTATTGTCGATTTACTTACTTATACACAAACTTGGTACATAAATAATAGATAGCTCCAAACCTATGGTAATGGCAATCTTAGTACACACATAAACACATACCGCTGCTCCTTTCTGATGCAGGTATGAGACCACATGGAGCCTGCACACACACACCCTTCAAAAAAGTGGGCATGTTTGGGTGTCCAGTTTATTTTGATCTGCCCTCCACCAGAAAATTGTTGTGTGTGCACCCAAACACTGTCACCAGTTTCTTGGAGATGCTGATGATAGAGGAGCTGCTCCTGTCTTCATCAGTTTCACATTAATAATAGAAATCCTCTTGACCCTTGAGACCATGCCATCTTGATGCAAAAGGGTTCATCATGGCCATTTTGATTGTAAAGTGGGACATCCAATATTTTTGACACCAAATTGTTCTGAGTATCCATAAGTTCAACAAAAAAAACTTCAATTTCAAGCTCTGGGGATTGGTACGACTATGCTGGTTTGAATAAATAAGAGGGTTCAAAACATGAATTATCAACATTGATTAATGGTCAAATTTGCAAAGAAAGCATTATGGCAGTTTTTGGAAACTTCAAATGATGCTACAAAAAATCAAATTAAAGAGAACTGTTGGTCTGATTGCAAAACCAAATGAGAAATGGAAAGTACACACTCCAAATCAATCATCCCAAAAATGACACTTTTGGGGTTGAACACCATACATGGCAGACAAACATTCAGCTGACATGGTCAACTAAAATTTTGTTTTGTTGGTGGGATGTTACAGTAATATGGTGTCCCCCACTGTGCTTTAAAAAAATTGCAAGGACTTGTTGTGGGGTACATACTCAAACAAGCACATTTCCCTAGAATTGGACAATTGATGTGGTATCCAAGTGACAGAATCTACTTCTTGAATCATTCATTTTGTTAAATTGTTTTCCTCTGACTGTTGGTGGGCTTCAGTACAACTTTGTTAAACAATTGGATACAAATATTTAATTGAATCACTTTTTGGTAAGACTAGAAATGGCCACACTGAACAGCTAAAGCTTATATGGAATCAGATCATTTAGTTTAATATCAAGTTGTGAGGATAATGGATCAACACTAGACAGAAACAATTGGGATAGGAGTAACAAGCCAAGCACAAAGCTCTACCATACAACTCATTTAGAAAACATGATTAAGATAAGCCAAGAACCTTTCAAAAAAAATTAAAAAGCCAAGAATAGAAGATTGAAGTCAATTCAAGAGAAAACAAGTTTATATAAAGAAGAAAACAAGAGCTGGGATGTTGGAACAACTACTCCTGTGTAACGGAAGAAGAATTTCATCTCTTTTCAAGATGGAGGAAGTGGATTTTGTTTGTCAGTTAACTGATTTGTTCAATGTTTTCCAACACAAATGGATCAAACTCCAATTCAATCGGTTTGAAAATCATCTTGCAGGTCTCGAAGGGGCAGGTCCAGGAGGATTTGAATCGACTTTGTTGGATGATATTCTTCAAATCAAAGCACTACATAAATGTTTTATTGTCGGTTTTTGTCAATCCCCAATTAGGTATACAAAAGAAAGAAAGGAAAAAACAAATGGTAGAAAGGAAGACTTACTTCCCAATGCTGACATTGGCCACTTCTGACCGGACATCGAACCATCTGCCCACTGATTGGGTCAAGTAGACTTTTTGAAGAACTCGATTCGTAGAGAGAAGTCGTCCGATGATTGGAGCAGTTCCCACAAATTGATTGTTCAAAGACTTCCTTCTCTGATAACATCGTGATCACCTCAACCGATAATCGTCCTTTGGTTGTCTTCTGAGGTCTCATCTCCTTTGACTGTTTCATTTTGATCTTGTTAACTTTAAAAAAAAATTGCAAAGCATTAGTTAAAATGTCAATATCACAAGGTCCATTTTAAAAATAAGTTGCAAGGTATTAAGGAAGAATTTGGGAAGATGTGGACTTATTTACCTCCAACTTTCAAGTGTTCAGGATGAACAGGTAAGATCATCTTGAGTTTGGATCCATCCTGATGTGATTTGAGAACAGAGACATCTTGAGAATTGAAGGTGAAGTTGAGAAATTGGAAGGGGTTTTCGGTGGTTTGAGTGCTGAGAAGTTCGATTTCAACAATGATAACAATCTCCACCGGCAAAGCTTTCCTTTCATCTTCATCCATTGTCGACGGCAGAGAACTTGGAAGACTGTCAAAACGGGGGTAACTGAACTTTTTTGTGTCGGTCAGTCGGAATGTGTATTCAATCATTCTTCCTGTGATTGTGAATTGGTTGGACTTCAAGACTTGATGGCTGATCCATAAATCACCCAACACATTTGAGTTAAGCTCATGAGTGTTGATTAGTTCTGCCTTCTTTTGTTCGATCGAGATGGTGGTGTGCTCAGTTTCCGGTTCAGATTCAGGCTTGATTGGTGGTGACGAAAGTGGTCTGGTCTTGGCCGGGGTCCCGTTATTATCATCTGGCAATTCGGATTGTGCGTCAATCGAGGCTTCTGGGCTGGTTTCTTTGGAGGAAACAATTTGAGGTTTCTCTTCCTTGTTGTCGTGCTGAATTACCACCGGCTTCTTTGGTACCTTTCGAAATGGATGGTCGCTGTCGTCACTCTCACTAGTGTCTGAATCTGAGTCGGAGAAGAGTTGAGGGCTTGGTTTGCGATCCACTGGTTCACTTGTGTGAGTCTGCCTAGTACTGCTGCCTTGCACAATGTCATCAGGAGCATCTTCTCTAGAAGTTGTTGGCGTACGTCGTTGCAATTCCCCTTGAATCGTTTTCTGAAATCTTGAGAAGTACCCGTCAATGTCTGAGCGATAAAATTCGTAATACGCCACCGGATCTTGGCCCAACGTAGTTTGACAGATGATGTCATCTTTAGAGTCTTCCACTGCTGTTTTAACCGACTTGATGACTCTGAAAAGTGCCTGGAGTTGTTTGCGATCCAGCCTACACAGTCTTGGCTCGTCATACCAGTCTACTAATTCCTGTCATTCAAAGGTTTATCTTTAATGGTCAGATTCATTGATCCATTGAAAGCCTCTGAAATTGAACCAATATGTACATACAAGGCTACTTACCTGGCAGAAGCCTGCAAGGTGAGATATGAACTCAATGGCCAGTAACTCGCCATCCCGCATCGTCCGACTGAAAGGTTGAGCAACTTCAATGATGGTTGCATCATTTTGTAACTTCCGTTTGAGAAGGTCTAACATCAAAATGTTGCGGTCGAATTTCTGCCAAAAATCCTTGGACCTGAAGGGAGGCATTTCCTTCTCTTTTCTTTTGGAGGGCTCTTGTTGGTTTCAATATTAACATGAAAATATATGGGATAGGATGTTCTATTAGTTTTGGATGAGAATTGATACAGAATCATATGGGGGAGAGATCACTGAACTGGTCTGGGTTGGATTATCACCGCACGTGCACTTCAAATGTACCCTGCTGGTCTTCCTCAACTCTCTGCAATGAGCACACTGAGCGGGTGGCCTGCCTGTTTGTATATCAAACAATAGCAATCAGAAAGACTGATGATGATAGTTGGATTGAGAGCAATCATTAAGGGACACTCACCTTTTTTACAGATTTCTACCAAAGTCCAATCGGCGTGACAATAGCTAGTCAATCGATGTCCTTTAATGCACACCCCACACGTGAGTTTTTAACCTGCATATATATACTTAGCTAGACAGACCAGTATTTTTCAAGTTGTACGAGAATGGATTGCTTACTGTTGATATCAAACAATAGCAATCAGCAGGAAGCAATCAGCAGGACTGACAATGATAGTTGGATTGAAAGCAACTGAGGGACGTTCACCTTTTTTACTGATTTCTACTGATCGGTGCGAAAATAGCTAGTTGATCGACGTCCTTTGATGCACACCCCACACGCGAATTTATAACCTGCATGTATGTACTTAGCTAGACAGACCAGTATTTTTCGAGTTGAAGGAGAATGGATTGCTTACTGTTGATAATGACCAAGTCAGGATGTATGTGTGAGGGGAGGTGGTGTGATGGTTCAGTGAAGATTGAGTGATGTTTGTGTGGTGGAGCTGAGCTTGTGAGTGGTGGAGGCTGAGCTGTAATGGATTGGTTGGGAGAGAATGTGAATTTAAAGCAGAGTGGGGGGGGGGGGGTAGCAGGTGGAGGCTGGTGATGGTATAGTTGTGAGATGTTGTGAATCTGAAGCAGAGTTGGGGTGGGGGAGGCTGGTGATGGTGGTGTGGTGATAGGTTGTGAAGATGAAGCACAGTTGGGGGGGGGGGTAGTACTAGCAGGTGGAGGCTGATGATGATAGGGGGGTAGCGGTGATGGGATTATAGCCTTAGGGCTGGTTGTTTTTGGGTGCTTGGTGTTTTTGGGTTTCTTTGGATTGGTGGGTACCTTCGATTGATAGCGGTGAAGCGATAGCGGTGAAGCGAGTCGTCCAACCAGATTTCGCTTGATCGGTACAAACTACCTGGATATTGAATAAGAAAGAAGAAACTTGTCAGGCTCAGAGTGATTCAACTCGTGGTCAGACAAGAATTGGAGATCAATCGGTACACTACAGTACCAGCGACGGGGTGGGGTTCCTCAGAGTCAGGCTGACGAGCCGTTTGGTCTGTTTGATAACGGTCGAGTCCTGATGGCAGTGAACGACCGTCGAGGGGAGTTCGTCCGATTCGATTCCGATTGACCGATTGTAGTTCGATCCAGCTGAGGCATTCGGCTACAAGTCGGGTTGCCGGGTCGAAATTTACCTTCGGGCTGCCCGCCCCGGCCCACCGACAATAAGCGCAATCGAGTCTTCGTGATCACTGACAATCGATGGTCATACCGAATTGCTCCCGAACCCCAACACAAATTTTAATTCTAGGGACTATCTGAGAACTGTGCCGAGAGTCATGTGGGTTGTCGAGGGCTACTTTCGCGACATTGATGCTGCCGATATCAAAGGTGAGTATCTCGTGGTGCTTCTCATCATGAAAAACTTGCCAAGTACATGTTCTGACGCTTAGACAACTTCAACTGTGTGCCTCGGCTATTTGAATCATCAAGTTCAGGCAAAGCTCCGAGAGAGGTGGCTGCGACCTACTCGCACTTACAGCTTAGGCAGAGATCTCGGTAACGATTTCTCAATCGAGAAACCAAAGACTTTAAGCAGATGGTGTTCTATCGAATTGAATGCGGGTTCTTATAACTCTATGGTGAGTTGGTGTGCTCTCCATCTAACAATTTCTTCCTCACTGCCCATCTCCCACTGTTCTATGCGCCGCTGACGAAGTGGCTTCTTCCTCCTTATTCTAAGAGTGACCAATCTGAGCCTGCCGAACTACCAAGACCATATCCATTATCACTCACCAACAATCTTAACAAAGGTCTCCACTTAGGTCGCGGAGAAAACCCCAATATCACCATCGAGCCGCGAGCTTCTGTTAGCATCGAACCTGACGATCAAATATTCCTCAACCCTTCAGACCCTTCAGTTGATTCAATTCGGTAATTGCTTCCCGAATTCCACTATCTTTTTCCTATTTATGCAGGTGCCATGTCCGACGTTGGCGTTTCTTTGTTTTGAATTCAATGAAAGCTGATGGGAGGACTCTTAATTTTTAACCCACTACTATCGTTTATCGCTCACTGCTCCAAGGTTTCATTGGCGTCCGGTTTATATTTGTATCAGCCCGTCCCGCCGGGCACATGACTCGCAAAAGTACAATGACTCAGGTTTGAAAGTCCCTCAACTTGCCCTTAACTAATAAGCGATTTTAAGGTTTTTATTGATGCAACAATCCCACCTATCGCTCTGTCTCGATTTCCTCCAGGATTTCTTTCCTCTATATCGCGACTACCAAGCAAACATCATACCCACTTCCTTCCGATACCACTCAAACCAACGGTTCCGGTTGGCTGTGCTCTTGTTCGGGGTATCCAGCTGATTTCTCAGTCATGGTTAGATGACTTTCTGGAAGCGACTCATATTAACCGCCCAACGACACAAAAGCCACCACCCAACATCCTCAGGAAAGAAGGCGACACCGAAGTGATGTACCAGCAGCGATGTCAGCAAGTCATTTCAATATATGAATCGCGATCGAAGGGATTTTCAAGTTTTGAAAAAGACTTCAAGGATGCTTGGAGCCAATTGGTCCCACAAATAAGCTTCAGTCAAGTACCGAGTTCCTTTGAAAATTGGGGCAAAGATCCGGTCAAGTTTGATCCCAATCCGGCTCGCAGAAGTTTATTCTCCGACATTTCTGTGATCTTCCTCGTAAACCAAGAAGTAGGTTTCTTGATTCTTGAAGAACTCTGTATGTCGAATTTGCTAATCTGCCATCTACACTCTCCTTGAATGCGATGTAGGATCAACATTCTATGGAAGTAGAAGAAGTCGTTCGAGCCGGTCTAGGCCGCATTGTCACCCACACTTCGCCTTCTGATCAATCTTCACCATCCCATCCGCAACTACAAGAGTTGTGGCCAAAACCAGCTCGGCCGGAGTATCGCGTTGTCATCAAAGCCAAGGACTATGTTTCCATGCCAGGGTAACTTGAGGCGGCTCTATCCCAGCCTTTGATGACTCAGGCTGATATTGAATCTCGATTCGAAATCATCAAGCTCGGAAATTGAAGGGGAGAAAACGGTAAATGATTTACTTCATGCCATATACTACGTGGACAAGGGGCGATTGGTAAACCAGTTTCATTATCACGAGGTCCCAGTTGATGACGATCATACCGACAATCCCACCCTTCCTGATGAAACTCCGACAATCGCTCAACGCTGTTCGACACCCACCAGGATGGCTATCGGCGATAATTCAACCTTCACAGAACCTGACTCATCCCCTGGCCCGGAGCTTGTAAATATACTTTTTGTTTCGATTTTCTGTCTCTGCACCTCTAGATGTCAAGTCATCATATTTTTAACTTCTCACCTATCACCTGGTGATATTAACAATAGATTCGAAGGACAGTCAGTCGGACGGATGATGAACGGATGAAAGAGCTTCTGTCACATAGTGAGCCGGGAGAAAACGAAATTGAAGCTCTACAGAAGCTTGCCAGAGTGGATGATTCCGTAGATGAAACGGTGATAGTGCGCAAAATTTTGGCAACCTTTCATCTGTTCTCATTTACCGAAGTCCTTCTTTTTGCTGAATCGGCTTCCTAGTCTATTCAACCTGAAGCACGAGAAGAAACGCCTCCGCCAACGACGAATCAACTAGGTGGTGAGAACACGGGCAGGTTGGACCCGAAATCAGGTTCGCAGTCGTCCAGCCTAGGCAGTGTGAGCACAAACTCTTAGATTGGTTTCAGTGAATGCAGGGCTGAATCGTTTGTGTTTTCAAAGAGTCCACCTTTACTCAAACGTGAGGTTCGAGGAGAACGAGAACTCAACTTGGACCAGTTTGTAACCTTTTTCTGCGAGGAAACTGGCAAAAAGTCCCGGGAACCCTGACCAAGTAGTCATTGGAGATAGTCTGATTGATCCTCCCGCAAAGCGGCAGAAGCTTGAGCATTGTCCGGAGGACGGATCGACTAGCATCACTCGCAGTACTTCACGACTCGATGAAGTGGATATCAATAACATTGAAGGGCCAGTAAGCAAGATGTTACGGGAAACTGCCACGCAAAGGGTTCATGACTTGAAGAGGAAAGCTACTACAGATCTATCTCCCGGCGATGAAGATGGATCTTTAGAAAATACTGAGAAAGATGAACAACCCAAGAAGAAAGCGCGCATCCAATCCCGACAGGAATTAGAGAGGTCTCGCTCAGATCTCTCAGCTGCAGGTGAAAAGGGTACAAAAAGGAAAACGAGCGGCCGTGCCAATGCGCAATCCCCAAAGAAATTGAGATCGCAAAAAATTGATTCAGACGAACATGAAGCTGAAGACTTGGGTGACCGATACTTGTCGGTGAAGACGACAGGTAAACGATTGACGGAGGAAGAAGTTCGGACAAATTTAGAATTCAATCAACTTCGAATCAGCAAACCGCGGACGATCCTTAAAACTAGACCCATACCTACTAGGCCGATCGGATGGGATGAAGAAGACCAAAGCGAGAATGAGTTACGCGAAATGGATGATTGGAAGCGCCAGGGAACTCAGCCTGATAGTTCAAAAAGTTTCTTCAAGGTCAGATATGTGAACTTGATCAAGAAGCAGCCGGTTTCCCGACATGATCTCGAAGATAGGCCTAGTAGCGATGGGTCTCCCAATTTTAAGAAGTTCAAGCCGGTATGCCCACTGCCCGGTAGTATATGAGCTGTTGCCTCACGACTACTGAAATGTTTCCTATTTTCCCTTTTCCGATTGTGATGAATCCGGTTAGAAAAACGGCCAGGCACCGCCACACACATACACGCCTGCCAAACCCTACACACGCCGCAATTTGAAAATGACGACTGATCGACTTCAGCCAAGCAATATCGATGGTCAGTTTTGCACCTACTCCCTGAACCCAGGATGATCATAATTCCTGCTTTGACGCGCCTGATGCCACTTCTTTCGCATCGAAGCAGATCACGAGCACGCAAGAAAATCGAGGGAAAAAAGTTCAACTCAAGTTCCTATCGAGATGGATGATGAAGACGATGACATGGAAGCCGAAAGCGCGCCGAAAACCACTGCCAAAGGCAAAGGGCGGGCGGATAGAACCAAGTCTGCAAGGTCTGCAGTAGGATCACAAACGACACTCAACTTTGGAGCCAAATCCAAACACAGCAAGGACGGAACAGCGGACGAACAACCGCAACGAACTTCACGCTCTGGCAAGAGCCGAGCCCCTGATCCATCGAGTGAATCAGAAGAAGACCCCTCCCCCAAAAAACCGCCACCTTCAACCAGAACACTCACTCGTCCCTCGCGCACCCAGACCAAATCCCAACGCACCAAACGTGTCGTGTCTGTCGATAACGGATCGGAATCCGACGGCGACGAACTCGCTTTCAAGGGATTCACTCGCACTCGGGCATGAATCCCAGAAGAGAGAGAGAGAGGGGGAGCTTGCAGTGAAGCTCAAGTATCATGAGATTAACCGGAATTGACTCTTGTTATTTATGTTTCTCAATTCATTTATCATTGCTGATGGTGCCTGCAATAAGTCCAATGGTCACCACAGGTTTCATCCATACAATTAGGGTGTTGCCTCTTGGTCCCCTTTGGCTTCTTTCATCTTTTGGTGATCTTTTCTTGGCTATTGATGCACACTGTATATCATATTGTTTAACTCTTCTCTTTCATTTGATCATTGTGAATTACTGGTCTCTATGACTGAAAAATAGTATCTATTGGTCATTATAAAAAAATAAGAGAAAGGGGGAAAAATTACATGAAGAGAAAGGAAAAAAGCAGAAATAGAAATAGCCACTCTCATCTTAATTGGATCAGATATATGATTTTTGCAGTGGACAACCTCCTGTCAGCATCTGCAGGTCTCCCAGAGCTGGTTTAGAGCCTTGAAATTCAAATTTCTCTGTGAGAATTAAGAGTTTTCGGGTCTAGATTGACTTCTGCAAGGGTCCCAGATCCAATGGGAAGTCCTCCAGTTGTCTCAAACATTTGGATGATATAAGCTCACTGATTTGACATTGCATTGTTTTAGTTACATGAGACCTGCTTGAATATGATCTTGACAAAATCCCATCAATACAATGGCTCAGGGCCAGGCAATGGGATTGGTCCATTTACAATGTTGGATGGTGTGATATTATATATACAGTTGAAGAACTCATCTGATTGACTGAAAAAATCTGCCCAAAGTGGTACATGCAATATTACAAAGGCAGCTTTGTAATATTGTGTGTCACATGCCGCCAGTTCAGCAAGATTTTTCAGTGAATGTAGTCTCAGGATGCAAGTGGGCCTGGTTTGGGCCAAAAAATGGGGTCCAACCCCTCCCCACACAAGGTTGCAGGTTGGGGCGGGGTGGGTCAAATTCAGAAATTTTCTGTCCATGCCCGCCTCAATGTTAAGACATGCAGGTCTGGGGTAGATCTGGGGCAAGTCATGGCTGACCCAAGCAAATAGAGCACTGCAACCCTGTAGAAGGCTGATCTTGCAATATCTTGGCATCTGCTTCAGAATTTCTACCAGATTGACCACTAGTAGCCGCCTTGGTTGTACTCAATGTGATGGCGGCTGGATTCCCTGGATGAGGGTGCTTTCTTACTCTAGGCATCTTGATGGTTGGCATCAGATCCAAAGATGGGTGGACTGTGGAGGAACTGGAGACTGGATGTTAGATATCCTCATACCCCAACTGGTGTCTGGAATCTGGACTCTGCAGCTAGCTGCTAGGTAGTACCAACGCTGCCACAGATACGATACACTGTGTGTATCATGGAGAATTCTGCAAAGCTGCATGGCCAAAAACCAAATTTGTTGAATCTCCTTGCAAATAAAAGCAGATTGGTCAGATAGTTTTTTTTTATTGGGGCTCAGATACATAGTGATACATGGCAGATACGGGCAGATACTGTATCTGTGGCAGCGTTGGTAGTACCACATGGTTGGGTCAGTGGGCAGTGTCTGGCCTGACCTGAGCACAAACTGGGCTGTCCATACCTGCCCCACTGACATGCCAGGTTGCTTTTGATGCAGCACATGTCCAAACCAACCCTGCTATGCAGTGGGTTGCGGGTGACTGTAGTCATGCATCAGTATCAGTGTTTTGGCCTGTCCGATTATTGGGGAGGAGGAACATACTTTTTTGGGAAAATTGTCAGCCTTAGAGATCCTCCAGAGTATCAAAAAGACTGCTTAAAGATAAATTAAAAATAATTCATATGCAATAACAATCTTAATATTAAGAAAAACTAGATATTTGTTTCATAAATAACCTTTTCATAACATTCTAGATGGGGTTGCTCAGTGGAAGTACCCCTAAAATCCTCCTTCTAGGACTTTGTCATAACTCAAGATCCTTAAAGGTTAGCAAGAATAAAAATAGGGCCTTAGAAAAACGACTCCCAAGGATTTGTCGATGACTCCCAAATACGGTCGTCGAACATCCCTTGGGAGTCGTTCCTCCAAATGGATGGCTGACTTTGGGAGTCAGCCATCCATTTATTATTTTATTTTTTAATATATATTTTTCGATTTGTTGGGAGTTGGCTGCCCAAACCACCCCTCATGCTTGAGGGGATTTGGGAGTCACTCCCACATGACCAGAAGGAAATCCTTCTGGTCAATGAGAAACAACAACCTCATCAACCGGAAGGAACCCCTTCCGTTTGATGAGGTATAACAACCTCATTGACTGGAAGGGATTCCTTCCAGTTGATGAGGCTGTTACACCTCATTGATCGGAAGGAATTCCTTCCAATCAATGAGGCGTAACAACCTCATCGGCCAGAAGGGATTCCTTCTGGTCAATGAGGTACAACAACCTCATCGACCTGAAGGAAATCCATCTGGTCAATGAGGTATAACAACCTCATCGACCTGGAGGAAATCCTTCTTGTCGATGAGGTATAACAACCTCATCGACCAGAAGGGATTCCTTTGGGTTGATGAGGTGTAACAACCCCATTGACCAGAAGATTCCTTCTGATTGATGAGGTGTAATAGCCTCATTGACAGGAAGGAATCCCTTCCGGTGTGGTAAGCCAATCCTGAAAATCCAAGCACCTCAAGACCACTAATAACACCAGAATCACAGGATCAAGAAACCCTAAAAAGCTCCCCAGACCCTCAAACAAATTCAAACAACACTCAAGCACAGGCCACATGGATAATAATATTTCCCAGCCAGGAACTCCACACCCTTGAAACTTACTCCCCTCAAAACATATTCCATTCTTCTTACCCCTTGTGTCTCACACTAGTAGCAATCCCCCTGATCCATGAAACAGTTATTTCCTCCTATCTCCTTCCATGGAATATTCCCCCCTTAGTTGTTTCATACTAGTAACTTTGGGAGCATTTTCCCACTGCTTGTTTCCCCTGTTTTCTCTGGATAAATATTTTCCCTTGTTTCATACTCTTCATAGAATGTTCCACTTATCTTCCAACCCCAAGCTGGCCACTCCTATGTTATGCCACACTAGCACTACAGTTAGCATACCTGGCCCAACATTGCCAAAATCTATAACTACAGAGCCCAGAGAAAATGAAAGAGAGAGATGAGAGAAAAGAAAAAGGAATCACTTAGCCTCGGTTCACTAGAAAGCTGGGAAACAGGCAAGGGCTGTGACTAGATGTTGTTATGGTTGTTGATCTTATGTAATCTGACTGTTGCACCTTGTGAGCAAAGCACAGCGCAGGGAGTCTCACATAATATTATAGAAACATTTGCCTGAGGAGAGAGCTTGATTTAGGACCTGTTGGTAAAAGACTGATGTGTGGGTCAGAGGTACTATTTGTTCCAGTGGTAGTTATACTTTGTAAGCATGGGGTGAGCTGCATAAAGTGATTTCAATTGCCTATCCATTTTGGGTAACCAGCTAATGATCTTGTTGTTTAAGCAGATCAACGGCTATAATACCAAACAATGCCTGAGTAGAAATTGATTGTAGAATTTGGAATGTCATAGCAAGAGAAATGTTTAAATTTAAAACTCCAGTCAAGGTGATGGAGCAGGTTTGTTGTGATGGCTGCGGCAGAGCCACGAGTTCCCTAGTATTTTATAAGTGCACAATGAAAAATCAAAACTGCAACCAAAAGAATTTTAAAAAATTCAAAATATTATGGTAGGAAGGAAAGTTGAGATTATTTTCAGCATCCATGACAAACAAAATCATTATACTAAACCTCTAAGATATAAGTTTCCTCAAAAGAGGATAGATTCAAGTACTTTTTTGGTCAACCTTTCTGAGAAATTAGAATCTCTCTTGCTTTTTGGTTTGCCTAGACTGGCCCCAGAGGAGATCACTCCTCCCCAAGCCAGCCAAGCCAGCCAATTATGGGGTTCAGAGCCTGCTGGGGTCATGAGGTTGTGGTCTCCCCCCCCCCCCCCCCCCCCCCAAAAAAAAAGGGAGGTCCACTCCCAATCCCGCAGGGGGAATTGGGAAAACAACTCCCAAGGACATTGTCCAACGGTCCTGGGAGTTGTTCTCCCAATTTTTGGGAGTTGGGCCCTTTTTATATCTTTCTTCTTTGTCGACTTTACATATACTCAAAATTTATTCATGATCAGCCTTATCAGCCCCACGAACCCCTCTGAGAAAAAATTTGCCCCCCCCCTAGGCCTCCTTGGCCCTCATTGAATGAATAACTGGGGTGCCAAAAGTTACGTTTGACTCTCTGTACTTGAATTGACATATCCGCCTTTGTTGCATAAGAAGATTATTGATTGGTGAACAATTTGTTTGGTACATTGGTCCTTCGTATGCGCACTTGAGCGTTACCACGGTTGGTTCAGGGCTGATTGCGAAACAAGGAATTTTTACCAATGTTCTTGGTGTGTGATAAGGCGCATTTATCACGGCCATCTGGAACGGGTACATATTTATGGACAAGTTCAGTTGCCATAATCGTAAAGTGGTGAGGTCGAGGCGCGTTTTCAGTTGGTTTTCAACATCAAAGGCAACTTTGAGTTGCTTTTGTTTCTAGCAATGCGAGACTCCTAGGCTCAGGCTATCCATCCAACTCAGCCGAAGTGGAAGTCCTTGTCAGCTCCTTCTAACCCATTGACATTGCCCCTACTGAGCCATCATTGGGAATTACGAACACTTTCTGCTTACCTTGAGGTTTCTGGATCCCCTTCTTCCAAAATTCAAACCAAGATCACTCATCTTAAGAACCTCGACAACTGCTTGTATCTTTCCGGATATACTGTAAACTCAATCCGGTTGTAATTTTTCTGACTTGACGAGTCTGTTTTTCGACCTCCGGCTTCGTTCGCAACCATAGCTTAAGCTCCAGCCACCATGACATCCCGCCCCATTTCGCGCAAACGTCTGCATGTACTCTACACTGCACCACTCTTGCTTGGCGTCACCTGCCTCGTCTTGATCATCTTCTCGCTTGGTGGACTAGTCCCCTGGAAACAGACGAGCGGAACAATTATGGTTATCCATCGTACCTCTTCTGACGCGCAAAATAATAATACCGCGTCGTTCCACTTTGGTTTACTAGGTCAGTTCTTGCCTAGAGTTTTCTGAATCCGCTTCCTTCAATGCTTACAGCTGCCCCATACTGACAATGTTGATTATTCTGATGGCCGCAGGCTCGTGCTATCAAGCAGCGGCGGGGCACCAGCTGCATTGCACACCCGCCGCGTTTCCACCCGATTACAACACGACTATCTTACGAGGTGGCAAGGATATCAATGCAGAACATCTTGATATCATGATGCCCGACCTACCTCCCGTCTTCTTCACTTGGTGGCTCATTTCAGTCGTAGCGCTGGTCTGTCACGTTGTCGGGTGCCTACCTATCTACGCTCCGCGACATTTCAGCCAACACAGGTTTTGTAGTCAAAAGCTTTTCACGGCCACTCTATGGATTCTCGGCATTGGTTGGACCCTTGGATTTTCAGCCGTATTATCTCTGGCTTGCTTTGTGAGTACATCAAAATATCACCTCAAAAAGATAGAAAACTTATAAGACACATCTTCGGAAACAGGTCGAGGGTTTTGGAGACGAGTACAATCTCTTTTCGGCCGACTTCTTGTACAATCAAGCATCAGCGGGGAAAATATTCGTACTGTTGACATTCGCGATGGTCACTCAATTTATAATCGGCCTTGCAGTTATAGTGCAAATTTCGAACGCACCAAAAAAAGATGCAGGAGACTTTTCTTCTTCTTGGGCCGATCATCTACGCGTGACTGGGCCGTGAAGTCATTTCTGCATCAAAGCATTTGGAAATAGTCCATTAACATTCATCTCTTATGCCCCGTTCTCATGTCAATTCTTTCAATCAGCTCTCCAGGTAATACATCTCCGTAGTCTAGAGGAACGTCTCTCATAGCTTCCTTAAGGTTCAAACATACAGCAAAAAATCACACTCCCAGATATTTATTTACGTTGTTTGACTAAAATTTTCCTTCAAATTTTATGATATTCAGTAATCCAGTGCTTTCTATGCACACCATTGAACCAGAACTCAATTTGAAAGTTATTGAATTCTTCAGAAAAAGTCAATAAAATATTGTCATACTATTCAAAATTTCCAAGAGATACAGCTGCTGTAAGAATAGGAAAACTTGAAGGTTTTATTTCATTGTCAGATAGGATGATCTAAAACAATGAATAAGAGAGAAAAGAAATATGAACAGGAGAAGAGAAATGAAAGACTTCTGTACCTTGAAGGCAAAGGTATGGGTGCGAGTATAGAGATGACAGAAATATCATCAGTGTCAGCCTGCAAGTAAATGTCACAATACCTTTCACAAGTTAATGTACCATGTACTACACAGACTGCACTATTTATTACTCTTATATTCATTTTATCTTTTATGCTTATATGGAGTTATGCAAGTTGTACATACTATATAAGTTTCTTGTCTCTTGTCTTTGATGCTCCCCAGAAATCCAAGAAGAGACGACTTTATCCAAACCTTATCCAATTCCTCTTGTTCCTGAAGTCAATCTAGGATTCACTACCAGGACCGCTACTTCTAGTTATATTGCGCCGATCCCTGAACTTTACCAAGCACGAAGCCTGTGGTCTAGTTATATCAGCAAATCACTGAACCTGAAGCGGCCTTCGATTTCTCAAAACTTATCACTATCTCGTTTTAGGAACAGCAACCCCTCAAGGTAGCCGGTTCTTACTTGATAGCTGACAATTGGCGACCACCCCAGCGTACCTGTATTCCTGGAACAGCCCGATACAGAAGGAAGTCGATCTATATCAACTTCACCGTATTTTTTACTCGATTTTGCTCGACAGCCGAAAATCAGTGTTTTTGGTTATCAAGAAACCATCCTAGTCGTTTCTGGTCAACGAGCAAAAACCACCTCCTTGTCTTTATTTTTCCTTTGTACATCTCATTGGTCTTAGTCATCAATCGAAAACAACAGCTAGAGTCGTTTTGGCTAGCAACTTTTGGTCCACACTCGATAACTCGAACACTATCTTTTTCTAAGTTCGCAAAGGATAACGGGTCATCAGTTGGAAATCGGAAAAGTAGGCTTTAGATCGCAAAGGACGTCGAGCGTACAGGACCACTACTCTCGCATTAGGAACAGTCTTATCCTCTCAATTGGTTGGAGACGATTGATAGTTCGGAAACCGTGTTCAGACTCAACTAAATCATGTCGATCGAAGATGAAGTCAAGTCGTTAGAAAAACAACTCCGTACACTACAAACAAAGCTCGAACAACTTCAGAAGCGACTAAGCAAAGATTCTTCGCCAGCAATTAGCAAATCAATCAACGGAGTCACAAAAACACAAAAAGAAAGCGACTCATCGCCGATTGAGAAGACCTACATGAAGAAGTCCAATCGCGATTCAGAGAAGAAGAAGTCGCATGACGATCCTGTAGGACGGAGGAGGATAGCTCAGCCTAGCTCACAAGTTTTCAAGCAGACTAAGTGTGTCAAGAAAGAGAACAGAAATCATTTCGGACCGATTACGACCTCGCACACTCAAGACCGCAGGACCCTTCGCAGTCGATCGTTTAAGGTCATGAGACACCTTATCAACATGGTCGATCAATCGCTTATTGAGACCTCGGTGAATACACAACTCAACACTCCAGATCAACAAAGAGTGAGGAGCGGTAACATCGATCTACCTCGATCCTCGATGGAAATCAAGAAACCAATAGTGTCGAAACAAACGGAGACATTCACAACATCTAGCGACGAATCTATTAAGCTCTATAGATACAGATCGATCCCAAAGTACACCAAGATCTATAGAAGCAAAATCAAGAATGAAGGTTCCGAACAATTAGCGGAAAACAACGACATCTCAGTTGAAGACATCATCCAACTCTACATCCCCAAGGTCCCACCAACTGATAAAAAAGAAAGATACTACTACTCAGGCTATGCAACTAAGAAGATGGGCTACTGTTCAGCACCCGACTTGTCAACCGTACCACACAAAATAATGAAGAAATTGAGAGATCCCTCATTTGCTTGGTATAAAGACAGATGGATGTTAATTAGTAGACCAGAACCCTGATTCCAAAGTAGATTTGTTCTTTTTTTTTATTGTTTTTTTTAGGGGTAGCAAATGTCAGCCTGCAAGTAAATGTCACAATACCTTTCACAAGTTAATGTACCATGTACTACACAGACTGCACTATTTATTACTCTTATATTCATTTTATCTTTTATGCTTATATGGAGTTATGCAAGTTGTACATACTATATAAGTTTCTTGTCTCTTGTCTTTGATGCTCCCCAGAAATCCAAGAAGAGACGACTTTATCCAAACCTTATCCAATTCCTCTTGTTCCTGAAGTCAATCTAGGATTCACTACCAGGACCGCTACTTCTAGTTATATTGCGCCGATCCCTGAACTTTACCAAGCACGAAGCCTGTGGTCTAGTTATATCAGCAAATCACTGAACCTGAAGCGGCCTTCGATTTCTCAAAACTTATCACTATCTCGTTTTAGGAACAGCAACCCCTCAAGGTAGCCGGTTCTTACTTGATAGCTGACAATCAGGGGAAAGGGAAACGCAAAGGTGTATAGTAACAAAGAAGCAAGAGCAAAGTATGAAGAAAAAGTTAGTTCTCTTAGGAGCATGTAAAAGAAAAACAAGGGTTATGCAAAACAGATAGAGGCTACAAGAGTGCAGAAAGGGGTCATTGCAAGCTTGTTTATGGGAAAGAGGTAATGGAAGTAACAGATGTAGACTTTGTGTGTTTGACAGTTTAAACTTCAATGGGTGATCTGGGAAGGAGGAGGAAACAGATGACCAAAGAGAAAGAGAGGTAAGTGTCAGCTGCCTTTTATGGTCTTTGATGGGTATTTTCATCCGGCTATGCTTACGGTCATCTGGTGCGTATTGTGTATCCTCATGTCCTTACATGGTAGTAACTGCCTGGTCGGGCTGGTCCACTTCAATCCCCTGTGCATTGATATCTGTCAGATTCTCCCTCATAAGGATGAGTCAGCAAATAAACATTGCAAGAATCTTGTAGATGATAAGATGAAACCTAGTAAGCCTCATTGCTTGGGTTATAGAATGTCAGAAGGGATGAAACTGATCTCAGCCTCTTCTCTCCCAGACACAGGAGATGAAACAATCAGCTCAAATCCTTGGGAACAAAGCCCACACAATTTGCCCCACGACATCAGCAACAAAGCTCCAGCAAACAAGGAAGCAAGCAAGGCATCCTCGTGAGTACTTAAGCAGGCTCTATCTCAGCCATTTCTCAGATATCGAACTAACTATTTGTCACTTGTCCCCAGCCCAATCATCAACAGAATAAATCTCACCACACAACCAGAACTACTCGCCAGGCTTAGCCTCAAGACCATTGAGTAAGTACTAGAACCATGAGTGTGGCAGATGAGTCCAAGAGGCTGACATTATTGCATCCATTACTGAACAGAAACCCGTCAGATCAGTCCAACACGATCTGATTGCCAGGATTCAGGATAGTGGCATTGCGTACTTAATAAAGTAAATACATCTTTGCTCATAAGAAACAGCATAAGATGAAGACAAGTCAAGCTAATGTTATCTTCATTGACAACTAGATCAAAACACAATAAAAGAACAAAAACAATCTTCTATCTCTTCTTTTCCTTCCATCAAATATTTTATCTCTCTCTATCTACATTGCTCTGTGATTGCCAAACAAGACCCACAACCAATCTTTCTGCTCTTAGGTAATTCAACCTTCTCACTCTTGAACTCAAGCTCTACTGTTCATGACCTTAGTTTGTAATTATCAATATCTAATTTCTAACCAAAGGGTCCAACTTGTATAGAGGTTGGACCTCAGAAAAAAATAAAAATAAAATAAAAATTTGATTACCCCAGGGGGTTTTTAGGAGTGGATACTCTAAAAAACCCATGGGGGTTGTGAGTCAGCCAGCGCTGGAAAGCCCTCAGCGGCCAAGAGGAATTGTAGATACAGCATATTTGAATACACATGTACTCAAAACAAAATATGATAAAATGTAGTGCAGATACAATACATGTATTTTGTTTGTTGCACTGTTGCTCATGCCAACAACCAAGGCCACTAGCACCAGGACTTCCAAAGCAAGGTGCTATCAAAAATTTGGAGATAAAAATGGATGATGGACCACATTAATTGGGCATGGTGGCCCAAAATCTTCTTGCTGGTGACCTGGTATAGTAACAACTGTAACATGGGTGGTACCACTGTAAGCTTCTGTTGACATCACAGGCCAAAGAATATGACTTAGGCTGTGTTTGTTGGCATTAGGGTTCTGATCCGGACCCCGAAGATCCGGCACTACCCGACCGGGTACCGGGTCGAGTCGGGTCACGGGATGACTCTAGACATACCCGGTATCCGATCGGGTATTTTTATGCCTAAAATTCCGCCCTTTATGGCAGAAATCTGGGGTTTTTGGGGGTTTTGGACCCTTTTTTTTGAGATTTTTCTTTTTTTTTCAAAATCAAAAGTTAGTTTTGGGCTCTCCCAAACCGCTTGGTGAAGTTTGGGCTGGAGGCTCAGATCCATTGGGTACCCGGCGTCGGAGCCGGATATGCCGGGTTCGGATCTCGGAAAGGCGATACCCGAACCCGGAGGCCCGGATCGGAACCCTAGTTGGCATTATGTCAAATATGCTCAAATTCCAAGAAGTTTTGCAGGAATTTCACACATATGCTGTTACATTGCGCTAACAAATGGGGCCTCGGTTTCATCAGGAGGTCAAGTTGAATATTGAGGAGATAATTACTTTGAAATTGATCCTTGCAAACAATCAACTATGTAGACTGCAGCAATACAAGTAAAACTGTTGTTGGAATGGACACCCTGGAGACAGTGAGGTTGGAAAGGATCAAGTGTCATTTCACTGAGAGAAAGAGAAGAAGAAACAAAAAGAGAAAGAACTAACCTGGAGACAGTGAGGTTGGAAAGGATGAAGGAAAAGAGCTCCTTTCCAACTCAGTTGTCTCCAGTATAAGAGAGAAATGAAAACACAGTGAATGTCACAAGGTGTGACATGTGAAAAGAGAAAAAGAGGAAGAAGCACGAAATGATAGCGGCTATGTAAACTACACAACATAGAGAGCTCAACAACTGTATTACGTTCTGAGAGGCCCTTCTCTTGGGAGGTATGAATATTTAACAATTTGTACCGTTTTTTTTGAAGCTGCAATTTTTTTTTTTTTGAAGCTGCAATTAGTCTGTTTGTTGAAAGGTTGGAATGAATTTCATGAGCTGATCGCGACTCCGCAGTCGGTTGCGCCTCGCGTCGTCCTAAACGGTCAAAACCCCCGTTTTGGCTGTCAAGACTCTTGCCCGATGATTGGCACCTGACCACTTCAACCTGCTCACCACTTCCTCTCACCAACACACACACCTTCCCGAACTGCAAATAACCGAACCCATCAACACTCATTACGATGACCTCTAGAGTCCTCCAACGAGGCTCTCAGATCGATCAGATCGAGAACAGTCTCAGCAACGTCCGGCTAGACGAATCAAGCAAACCGAAGAAGAAAGCAGATACCCAGAACTCTAATGACCAATCAGTACCCGGCTCTTTCTCTGCCCCAAAATCATTCAATCAATCGAAAAATAAACCTTACGCCTTAGCACCTCCACCCTCAGCACCGCCTATCTCCAACCCTGCTAGCTTGGCCAATATGGGAATTGGCCAATACGATGGCGGTTTCGAGAGAGACGAAGCCTCCGGTAGAGGGTCTTGGGACCCAGGTCATAAACCGGCGAACGACACGTTAGATTTCGAGATACCATCCCCTCTGTACGTCACTGACCATTTGTCGCGTCACACTTTTACTTCTAAATAAAAATAAGCCTGACTTCTATATACTTTTTTTCATCAAATCTCCCATTACTCAGACCAAAGACCCAGTGGAGCTTGAACTCATTTGACATTGGTAGAGCCCTGGGTAAGGGTAAATTTGGCAGAGTATACATGGTTCGAACCAAAGCGCCACCCCAATTTATTATCGCTCTAAAGTGTTTGTATAAGCGAGAGTTGGTCGAATGCAAAGTCGAGAAACAGCTACGGAGGGAAATCGAAATCCAAAGTAATCTCAGGTTCGTATCATTCAGATTGATTATCGAATTGGCAATCTCTAGAAAGCAATTACTCACCAAAAGTAGTTTCTCATCAACTGATTGAAACGTGTTTTCTTTTAGACACCCAAATATTCTACGTCTTTATGGATACTTTCATGACGAAAAGAGAATATTTTTGATGTTAGAATACGCCGGTAAAGGAGAATTATACAAACAATTGCATCGACACGGGAAGTTCAGCGAGAAACGCTCGGCTAAATACATTGCCCAAATGGCCGATGCACTTCATTATTTACATCGAAAACATGTAATTCATCGCGACATCAAGCCTGAAAATCTTTTATTGGGAGTTGAAGGAGAACTGAAGATTGGCGACTTTGGCTGGAGTGTCCACGCCCCCGGTAATCGAAGGAAGACACTTTGCGGGTTTGTCATTTTATTCCTTCTGTTTCCCTGACTCGGCAGCTCACCAAGATGTTGCAATCCGCTCACCATTTCCTCGATTCCAGTACTTTGGATTATCTTCCTCCAGAAATGGTTGAAGGTAAAGATCACAATGAAAAAGTAGATTTATGGGCACTTGGCGTATTGACCTACGAGTTCCTTGTCGGTGTGCCGCCGTTTGAGGATCTTTCCGGTCACAATGGTCAGTCCTTTTGATTTCTTTCTGATTCCTTCATTAGATATTCATCTGACCTCTGCGTTAACATCTTTGTGTTCAGCCACGTACAAGAAAATTTCAAAAGTCGACTTTAGTATCCCTCCGACTGTATCGTCCGAAGCCTCAGACCTCATCCGCAAAGTGAGTTTTTTGGACAGCTTAGAGTCAAATTAATGGAACAAAAAAGACCGACGTCATATTAATTCATTTCATTATCCTTGTTTACTCCCAAACAAATTCAGCTATTGAGGCACGAACCTCAAGATAGATTACCGTTACCCCAGGTAGCCAACCACCCGTGGATTTTGGCACATGTCAGAACCCGCAATGGGACAAGTGGGGGTGGCAGTAATACAACCAAGTCTACTTGAATGTTCCTCCATTGTCTAAGCTTGTCCTACCTCTTCTCTCACTATTCTATCTGACCATCATGTACACACACGAACGACCGGTCTTTTTGCATTACTCCTACCCCTCGGGTTGCATTACTCCTACCCCTTGGATTGAACACACCTGATCTTGCCTTCCACCTTCCTTCTCTATGTTAGCTTTATACCTTGTATTAATTTTACCTCTTTTTTTGCAAGTATGAATCAGTATTGTCATGTTGAACTATTTTGGGTTTTCTTGATTTTGCTATTTGGGGACCTCTGTTTTTGCCATGGATACATCAAAGTTGAATAAGCACATCAGGAAGGGTGACAGGAAAGAAAGAAAAGATTTGGGGGGGGGGATTTGGAGCTGTGAACATACCCCATGGCTTCCAAGTTCCAGTCCAGGCGGATTTGGAGATTGGATACAGGCTACAGCTCTCAACAGCATTTTTGGCAGAGATCCTGGGGTCCACTGTCTTTCAAGTGAAAAATTAAAGGTGAGCACAGTGTTGGAAAAAAAACTGACTACTTGTGTGTGTGTGATCTCCATTCTATGTCCTTTGGACTGGAAGCCCATGACAAACTTCTCCAGACCAGAACTTGGCATTGAATTCTACGGAATTTCAACAGTTCACACCATGCCCTCTTCCAACTCCAATCCAACTACACTCTTTCCATCTCTGCACGGGTTCCGAGTGGTGCCTGTCCTATTCTAGGTCTTAACGGTATCATCTGTAGCCCTTCCTGGTCCCCTAGAATCTCTAGGGTTTTCAGGAGGAGCATGTGAGGGTCTTGGGAGAGACCATCAGTTAGGGGTGAGGATGGGTCAGGTTGGGGCAAAAAAATGCTGACCCGACCTGCCCCAAAAATAAATGGGTCAGGTCAGGTTGGGTTACTTTTTCAAAAACTTTTGCCCCGCCCCGACTCAAGACCCACAACTTGGGTGATGGGTCGGCGTGGGTTGACCCATATTGGGGCTACCGTTTTTTTTTTTTTTTTTTTTTTTTTTTTTTTTTTTTGAAGCAGAGGTTTTTTTTAGGTGGAGGGGGTTTTTTTTTGGGGGGGGGGGGGCATGATGCCTTCTTCTTTGCATCATTCAACAAGTGTATATATTTGGTGAAAGATTAAGACAAAGAAAGGTGAATGGAGAAGAGAGAAAAATAAAAAAAGAAAGACAACTAGATCCATCATCGGCCAGCTACTTTGGTTGATCGTACTATCATTTTTCATGTCTCAGATTGGGATGTCAATAACTCAGCATGCCAGGCAAGTTTCAACAAAAGCATGCATTTTGAAACTTGGCCTCCTCATGGGTCGACCCATGGGTAGTCCATTTTTGGAAAAGCCTGACCCAACCCACCATGGGTCACCTAGTGGGCCGACCCAACAGGGTCAAAAAATTGGGAAATCTGGGCTTGTGCCGCCCCACCCCGACCCAGATTCCATCTGGGTTGGGTTGAACCAACGGTGCCACAGATACGAGACATGTATTTGTATCGGATCGTATCGTATTTATTTTGAGCCTGATACCGGTATCAGTATTTCCTTGGTTGGTGAAAAGATACATTGTATCGGATTTGGATTTAAAAATGAAAAAAAAAAAAAATTCGTCTTCGTTTTTTTTCGTTTTTTCTTCAATACAGCCAAGTATCTTATGTATCAAATACGGTTTTGGTGGGATCAGTCATCTGAGACGATACAGAATACATTTCTCACTTTTCAAATACGATACATGTATATGTCTCAGGAAAGTGAGACAACACAAATCCGGTATTTTTGGGTATTCCAATTCTGAGACGATACAGATAAACGCCTGATACCGTATCGTATCGTCTCTGTGGCACCGTTGGTTGAACCATGGGTTGACCTGACCCATCCTCACCCCTACGGGCCCAAATCATGTCATTAAAGGGTTTCCTTCCAGCCAGCAAGGTACATCCTCATTGACTGGAAGGGGTTCCCTCCAGCCGGCAACAATGTACCATTTCCTTCCAGTCAATGAGGTACAGTGGGTGGACCGTTATTTTTGACTGCTTGTTTTAGATCCGAGAGCTTCAAAGCACCAGATTTAAGTCATGAGACTTGGTCAAGTGGTGCAGAATAGGTCACAAAAAATGAATATGAAAAAAATAAAAACAAAAAACAAAGTTTCAAATTTTGTGAAAAATAAAAAACAAAATTGATTTTTTTAAAAGCTTTGATATTCATTTTGGGGAGGTGTGAGTGCAGAGAGAAAGGAAGAATGGGAAATGGGAAGAGTGATTATAAATGAAAATTTTGGAAAAAGTGGTTACCAGATAGTCTTAACCAGTTGTTGAGTGGGGCATTCACCAGCTCACATTACAGTAAAGTACTAGAATTTACTGTTTTGACTCCAATCTGGACAACCAACCTGGCTCAACCTTCTTTGGTTCCAATTTTTTTCATTTATAATCATTCTTGTCATGTTCCACTATTTCCTTCTCTCAGCACTCCCACTCCCCCAAAATGAATAACAAAGCTTTTAGAAAAAGGGCAATAATAAAAAAACACGGTTTTTCCGCGTTTAAAAGCGGTTTTGCTGCGGCACAGCGCACGCGGTTTCCGCGTTTAAACACGGTTTCGTAATTAATTTTTTATGGGTTATTTTTTGAGTTTTTTTGAATTTTTAAAGTTCTTTCCTACACTATAAACGGCGTAGAATTTAATGGTAAAAATCATTTTTCATAAAAATGAATTTTGATTATTAATTATTTTTTTTCACTCATTTCTCAATTAATTGTTTGCATACATGTATGTACCTTATTTTTTATGCTTTTTTGAAATTTTAAATTTATTTCCTAGGTTTTAATATGCGTAGAAATTAATGGCGCAATCCAATTTTTTTAAAACTCAACGGTTCACTTTTAATACTCAAATTACACCCATTTTTTCACTTAAATTTCTACAGGTTAATTTTCATTCTTTTTTGACATTTTAAATTTTTTTCCTACACTTTAATACATGCACAAAATGATGGTAACAATCATTTTGCATCAAAATGAAAACTACATCTTGAATACTGCATTTGACACCGTTTTTTTATTTAATTCTTCACTTTTTCACTCAATTCTTTGCATTAATTATTTTACCTTTTTTTTATGCTTTTTTTAAATTTGAAAGTTGTTTCCTACATTTCAAAGTGTTTAGAATTTAATGAGAAAATTCAATTTCCATAAAACTTAACGGTTCATTCAGAATACTGTAATTGGTCTGAAAATTCGATTGATTTTTAAGAGCTTAATTTTCATTATTTTTTGACATTCTAAATTTGTTTCCCACACTTTGAGACATGTTCAAAATGATGGTAACAATCACTTTGCATAAAAATGAAAACTATATCTTGAATAAAAATATAAATTAAAAAATTCAAAAATGACTTCAATGGGGCTTGAACCTGTGACAGCGCTTGGAAGTACAAGTATTCCCAAAGTGGTAGCTTTATACCAAGTTTTATTTCTAAACTAGTTGGCTGGCATCACCTCGTTGGATAGTGTCGTGGTGTCCAGGCTGATCATAATCTTGACTAGAGTCTGCCTTGTGCATGGGAATCTGGAGAAATGGTTGGTGTATCCCTTTCCGATGATTGGGAGTGTTCTTTTTTGTAGTTTTTTAATTTTTGGGAGACATTTGAATCAAATTCTCTTTTTATTGTATTAAAACCTAGGAAATAAAGAACTAAATAAAAAAACAGTGTCAAATGCAGTATATAAGATGTAGTTTTCATTTTGATGCAAAATGATTGTTACCATCATTTTTTGCATGTATTAAAGTGTAGGAAAAAAATTTAAAATGTCAAAAAAGAATGAAAATTAACCTGTCAAAATTTAAGTGAAAAAATGTGTCTAATTTCAGTATTGAAAATTAACCGTTGAGTTTTAAAAAATTTGGAGTACACCATTAAATTCTACACACAGTGAAACCTAGGAAATAAATTTAAAATTTCCAAAAAACATAAAAAATAAAGGTACATACATGCATGCAAACAAATAATTGAAAAATGAGTGGGAAAAAAAAAAATTAATAATCAAAAGTCATTTTTATGACAAATGGTTTTTACCATTAAATTCTACACGCTTTAAAACATAGGAAACAATTTTAAAAATTCAAAAAAACTCGAAAATTAAGCGGTAAAAAATTAAAGAAAAAACCGCGTGCAAACGCGGAAACCGCGTGTGCTGCGGCGCATCAAAACCGCGTCAAAACGCGGAAAAACCGCGTTTTTTTATTAAGGCCCTAGAATTAATGGAAAAAATGAGTAGAAAAAAAAAATTAATAATTAAAACTCATTTTTATGGAAAATGGTTTTCACCATTAATTTCTACGCGCTTTGAAACCTAGGAAACAATTTTAAAAATTCAAAAAAACTCAAAAAATAAGCAGTAAAAAATTAATTAAAAAACCGTGTGTAAACGCGGAATCCGCGTGTGCTGCGCGCAGCAGAAACCGCGTGTAAACGCGGAAAAACCGTGTTTTTTTATTAATGCCCTAGAAAAAAACATTTTTATTTTTTATTTTTCACAAATTTTGAAACTTTTTTTTTTGTTTTTATTTCTTCATATTCATTTTCTGGGACCTATTCTTCACCCCTTCACCAAGTCTTTTGACTTGAAGTTTGTGCTTTGAAGCTGTAGAATCCAAAACAAGCAGCCAAAAATAACAGTCCACCCACTGTACATGTACCTTGCCAACTGGAAGGAAACCCTTCCAGCAGGCGAGGGACATATACCTCACCAGCTGGAAGGAAACCCTTCCAGCCAGTCATTGGCCTTGGGTATCCCTGGGGATACCCGGATAACCACCAGGCTTGGGGGGAAAACAGCCATACACAGTTGAATCTGTACCCCCTGGCGGGTATCCATTGGTGCTGGGGGGTATCCGCCAGCGAAGAGCAGGTATCTGCAACGGATACCCTGTGACCGATCTAGTGGAAAATGATTTCCAAATAATGATTCTGAAAAGTTGGTTAGAAAATCTTTTTGTAAAAAGCTTGGTATATTTTTCTTCATATTTTGGAATTTTTGAAATTAGCTCAAAAAATTAAGACCAAAACAGTTGCATGTGAAAATGATGTTTATAGATGAAAAATTGGAAAAGAACAATGATCCAAAGTTTAGATAGCAGAAGAAACTGAACTCAGACAAGACATGTATTTGGTATCATCTTGTATTGTATTTATTTTGAACCTGATACTGGTATCAGTATTTCCTTTGTTGGTGAGAAAATCCACCATCTTGGATTTGGATTTACGCATGCAAAAAAAATTGTCTTCATTTTTTTTCTCTTTTTTCTTCAATACGGCTAAATATCATGGGTATCAAAGACATTTTTGGCAGGATCATCCCTCTGAGATGATACAAAATACCTGTCTCACTTTCCAAAGACAATACATGTGTATTGTCTCAGGAAAGTGAGGCAACACAAATACAGTTTTGGGTATTCAAATTCTGAGACAATAAAAATAGGGCCTTAGTTAAATGACTCCCAACATTTGGAGTTCCAACTCCCAAATCTTGGGGACGTCCTGAGGACTGTCTGCGGACGGTCCTCAGGACATCAGGCCCCCTATTTTTTTTTCCCCCATTGTTTGGGAGTTGATCCTCCAAACCCTTCAATTGGTTTGGGAGTCGACTCCCTGAGATTTTTTTTTTCTTTTTGCAAAGCCCCCCCGGGGTTTTTTTGGAGTCGATACTCCAAAACCCCATGGCGGTTTGGAGTTGTCACTGAGAAAAAAAAAAGACCAGCAGGTAGATTCCTCCCGGCCGTTGAAAGGCACACGGCCAGGAGGGACCCTCCCGGAGTTGAAAGGCTACAATCTTGAGGGACGGCAGGA